TATTCCACGCACGAAGTGAGCAAGTAATTTTCAAGGAAATGGTTCGCTTTTCAATGATTCGATCTCCTTAATGGTTCATTTGATTACCCGAAAAGAAAATTCCAGGAAAAAGTACAGATTGTGGCAAAAAAAAATAAACCAGAAGTTAGAAATCCAGTATGTTCTACATAATAAAACAAAAGGTTATATAATATTCATTGGAAACAGGACACAGAACACAAAATAGATTTGAACAGTGCAAAAATTATAATGAAAGAAGCAATACCCTCTAAAAGAAAAATAAAAAAGGCTTTTTTAATACAATCTAATAAAAATAAATGTATTGCTTATGCATCTGTAGATGTTAGTAATGTATGGCAATCGCTTCTTTGATTTTAAAGAACATAACATACGTAAAAATTAAAAATAATCATACAGAAAGTTTGAAGCTTTTTGGTTTTACCTTATTAAGTAATTGTTATCAGGTAGTAATTGTTAATTTTGAAGTTTAACTTAATATAATGTCATTTTAACAGAACGTCAACGATTTTTGTAGACGTATTTGTTTTTAAAAAAACTAAAGTGTTCTGGAATAGTTTCATTTAGTTATTTCAAATAGCTTTTTTCTTTGTTCTTTGTTTTCTTTGTATTTTTTAATATTAATTTAAGCGTGCTCTAATAATTATACATAGGTCTTCTTTTAATGTTTTGTATTTTGTATATAAACACTTTTACTAATAGTAGTTGAAAGGACCCCAAATTTTTTATTATTAAATTAAATCTATACTAATATATAATTAAGTTATTAATATTAGTCCTTAAGTGACTGACACACTGATTAATCAAGATCCTGCTCAAAACACTCAACGTAAGAAGCTCAATTTTGGCATACAGGTTGATTCTAGGGTGTAGAGGTTCGATAAGAAGGGATCTTTCGAAATTCCAGTTCCAAGGGGGTGAAACCACCCCTCAAATATCACAATATTTTTTATTTAAAAAACGGTCAAGTTTGCGAAAAAACGCTTAAACAAGTATATTTTATTTTGTTTTTTTACATATTTTAAGATTTTTTAAAAATGTATACAGGGTGATTCGAAAAATCTGGTCATTGATTAATCACGATTCTGCTTAAAGCGCGTGACGTAAAAAGCTGATTTTTGGAAAACAGATTGACTTTAGGGTGTAGAGGTTAGACAAGAAGGGATTTTTCGAAACTCGAATTCTGAAGGGGTGAAACTATCCCTCAAATATTAAAATATTTTTTATTTAAAAACCGGTGAGTTTTTCGGAAAAACTCTTAAACACGTATATTTTATTTTGTTGTTTTACA